TTTTTTTTTTTTTTTTTTTTTTTTTTTGCAATTAGTAATCTATATGTTGTTATTATGATCAATGAATTACTGCCTTAATTACTAGATAAAATTTTCAACGATAAGATTACATAGTATGCATTGTTATCGGCATTACTCCAATGTTCTTTACTACATTTCTGAAATTATGAGCATAATCGAAATAATCTTGTCTTTTTTTCACTATATTCTTCTTTTCTGGTTTTGTGTTGCTTTTTTCTTTCTTTCTATCAACAGCATTTTTCAATTACAAAAAGATACTGTCTTTCTGTAAATTGTGTTTAAATGTATCCGAGTTTGCATGAGTGTATCTGAGTGTTGTGACTTTTGATGTGTATGTGTCAGTATGATTCCGGTTTCTGTATCTGTATCTGAGAGTGTGTGTGTGTGTGTTTTTGGGTACTTTTTTTGTGTGAATATGCGTTATTGTGTGTTATGTCTATCAAAAAAGGTAAAGATTATTTTGTAAACAGAAAGAAAAAATTGTTTTTAATAAAATTTATTTTAATTAAATAATTATTCGTTAAACAGATAAACTTTTTTTTGGCATTTAGTTACTGTTACTGTTCTTCAGACAATCAGTCATCTAAGCATTGGTTAGAAGTGTTGTTTGTTGTTCTAATCTGAATGATATCTGCAACGGAATCTGTTAATCGGTAAACACTCTTTTTTTTTTTTTTTTTGATACTTTTCCACAGAATTAACAACATCTGCAGTTGCAGCACCAACATTAGCATCGTTATCAACATCAGCAGCTTTGTTTGCAGCTAATAATAGCTCAGAAAAAAGATTTAGCAAAAAAAAAAATGTGTTCTTTTCATCGTCTTCTCATTCATTGTTTCTTTCTTTTTTTCTATATTTTTATCAACACTGTTTTTTTTTGATTTATTGATAAGGAAAAAACTTAAAAGAAATTCACAATATATATATTTTTAGTTTTTCTTCTCAAAGAATGATAAACAAAACAATTGCAGTAATGGTGATAAATATATTGAAAAAGAAGGAAAAGCTACCAAATTGACTTTAACTGTTCTTAAAAGAGTCTATAAAAGGAAAAATATACTGCCTATCGAAAATCTAAAAATAAAGTTAAAGTAGTATTGTTTTGTAGTCAAACTTTTTTACCAACAGCAACGACAACAACTATGGCGATGCCGAAATATATTACCGAAAAAAAAATTGTCGACGATATAATATTTCAACAAAAAAAAATTTTTTAAATAGAATAACTTTTTGTTTTTGTTTTAAACACTTAATAATTCATATAACTTAAAATTTATTTTACACGAGACAAAAAAAAAACGAAAAGAGCAGGCAAATTTTGATTTCTAATTGAACTAAAAATTTTGAACTACAAATTAGCTGTGCAGTAAACACAGTGTTTACTGTGGGTAAGGCAAATTTACATAAATAAATAAAGTTTCAATCTGAACTTTTATCAATATATAAAAAAATTGTTTATGATTTTTGTCATCATCTTTTAATGGTTTTTTTTCTTTCGAAGACTAAAAGTGAACAATACATTAGAGATTACAAAAATGTAATAAACAGTAACTGTCGAACAGCTTAGTGTTTCATGCAAAAAAGAAGAAAGCAAAAGACAAGAAGCAAAACAAATTGCTTGATATATTTTAAAAATTGGTCCGTCTATAAATT